TTCTACTGTCAGGATAGAGTGAAAGTTTCAGTCAATATGACAAAATGTTATTTTATAAAAGTTGCCTACTGCAGCTTTAAAGTGTACCTAACTGTATAATTTGAGTGTAATTGCTGACAATACATGTGCTCTGTGTCTGTTATTGAATGTGTGTAGTGAACAATATCAGCATGAGCTCAAACCTCAAGTATTTATGAGTCACCTTTATGAGTCTCTTAAGCATACACCTCCTGAGGTAAAGAGCATGCTGTAGTCACTGAGGACAGACTTACTGGTTCTTATCCAGCTCCAGCCAGCACACAGCACACAGCACTCACTACCACACCTGCAGCAGCCTGTTTCCCAGAGGCAGCTTTATTCAGTTATAGTGAAAGGCTGAACCTGTCTGTCCCATCCCAGGTCGAGGGGTTGCATTCAGCAAAGATAACTACATAACTCGGTAAACCTGCTTCTTGAAACACTGGAAGCTTTTGCTTGTGTAAATACAATCATATCGTGTAGGTTTCCAGCCCTTTGTGTGTTAGAAAATAAATGATATGTGCCAAATGTTTGCCGCATTGAAAACATTTGCTACAGCGTGGATGAAAAGTTCCTGATGTCATTTCTCCTGTACAGTACATTGCTGGACATTTAATCCACTGTCGGTCTGTACCTGCCTTTTTTTCCCTCCTTGCTTATGCATTTATGAACTTTTGAAACCAAAAACAATATTTAAGAAAATGCTCATGACAGAATGTGTAAGTGATTGTTTTTTGTATCATTGTTAATGTTAAGTCTGTTCCAAATATAAATGCAATAAAGAAATAAAGAACCTTTTTTGCCATATGATTACACACAATGTTTTCGAATAGGCTGACCCGAAGCAGGGGTCTCAGACTCTAACCACTGCTGGTCAGTGTTTAGCCACTACAAGAAGAAGCTCAATATTGATCAGAGGTTGGATGTGGGGCTATTGTATTGGTGTCAGCGTACCTGTCATCTGATATGCACCGATATTTCTGATATATAATGTAGAGAGGCTTGTAGTTTTTACAGTACTGATGTATTGCTATTTATTTTCATTTTCTCAGTTCATTTCTAGAATCGGTTCACAATTTCGCCTATATTTTAATTTCTTAACACTATATCAGCCGCTTCATCAATAATCAGTGAATTTTCAAAATCAATATTAGTTCAAAAATCCCTATGGGGTTGGCCTGGAACTAACAACATACTTTTGTTTGTTTTTGTGTACATTTTCATCTTTTGTTGTTCACAGCCAAACAACAAGTAAAGGCCTGAAACCTGTTCTCTTTGCACTCGTCAGACCCTTTGATTCTTTTGTGCCAAACAAAATAGTTTTTAAAAATAGAAGCCGCAGCCTGGCCCTGCCAATATCATCCAACTGCAGC